GGGGAATGGAGTCTTTGTCCAGGAGGATGACAGGGGGGGCTTAGAGTAGGCGAACAACAGTTTCCATGGAAACAAGAGCCAGTCACTAGGCACAGGAGCTGAGAACCTATCTCTAGAATCTGGGAATGGGGAGGGAGAGAAAGGGGTGGGTTTTCCCATTGGAATTTTCAGCTCCTCCATTGAATCTTGGTCTGCTCCCAGCGCTCAGTTCCCACCTTAGCATCTCCCACGTGCACAGAGGTCCCAGTCTGGACCCCAGGGCTCAGGGTGGGAGTTCCCTGCCCCATTCCTGGGGAGTCCCCCCACATCCCCCATAACTCCGACAAATCCAAGTGGAAGCCTGGTCTCATCCCCAGGGAGGGAAACTGATCTTGGCGTCTGACGGGACAAAAGCACCAGTGGGAGGGAGGGAGGAAGGCGTTTGGCACCAGCTTCACGCTGACCTGCAGCTCTTCCTTCCGCGCACACTCACCCCTGCAGGGGCCAGAACACCACCCAGCTTGCTTGGTACCAAAGGCCACTAGGGACCCGGGCCTCATGATCAGGGAGCTCACAGGCCCAAAAGGGGTTCGGAAGGGCCAGGGAGCTTCAGGAACTTGCAGGAGAGTGGTATATGGGCTTGTGGTGAGAATGGTCCAGGGGGCCAGGGACAGCAGCGGGAAGGGCTGAGGTTTCTCAGAGGAGATGGAGGGAGAAAAGGGGTGCTGGGAGAGTGTGGGAGTGCTGTGGGGTCACAGGAGGCCATGGGGGGTATCGCCTAGTGGGGAGGAGCCCCAGTCCCCCACCTGCTCTCAGGGACTTGGCCACCACCCTGCCCTCCCCCTTGCCCAGGTGAGCACTGTGAGGTGAGTGCCCGCTCAGGCCGCTGCAGCCCTGGCGTTTGCAAGAACGGGGGCACCTGCGTCAACCTGCTGGTCGGCGGCTTCAAGTGCGACTGCCCGTCCGGAGACTTCGAGAAACCCTTCTGCCAGGTGACCACACGCAGCTTCCCTGCTCGCTCCTTCATCACCTTCCGAGGCCTGCGCCAGCGCTTCCACTTCACGCTGGCCCTCTCGTGAGTGGTTGGGCCTGGGGGCGCGGAGGGGGGATGGTGGGGGTCCGGTGCCTCCTGTTCTACAGACAAGGCGAGCGGGCAGGCAGCGAGAGTGCTGGGTGCAGGTTGTTGGCAGAACCAGGTCTGTGCACTTGGAGTTAGTTGCCTGTGCACTTTGCCAGCAGACGTTCCTCACCCACCAGGGCCCACCTATCGCTCCACCCACCCAGCCCTCGGAGGTGGGGAGCCAGTGGGCCAGGGTTCTGGTTCTGGTTTGGGCTCATCTTCCACATTCTAGCCCCATGGCCCACGGCCTTGACCGAGGTGTCGACCGTCTGGATGGTACTGAATAGGATCCAGGGCTAGTTGGGTGGCTGGGGAGCTGGCATGCCAATGGGTGCCCCATTCCCTGGCCCCGTCCCCGACTCCCGCGCAGGTTTGCCACCAAGGAGCGTGACGGGCTACTGCTCTACAACGGGCGCTTCAACGAGAAGCATGACTTTGTGGCCCTCGAGGTGATCCAGGAGCAGGTCCAGCTGACCTTCTCTGCAGGTGATCTGGTTGCCCTGTGTCCTTGCCCGTCTCCGAGAGGCACCATGCCTCTCAACCCCTGTCCCCAAGTCACCCACTCTCACAGCCAGACCTGGGTCCAGGACCAAGCATGAGCAGACCTCCCCTCCCCATTCCCAGCCCTCACCTGGCGTCCCAGCTCACTTGGGTCCTTTCCATAGGGGAGTCCACCACCACCGTGTCCCCGTTTGTGCCAGGGGGAGTCAGCGATGGCCAGTGGCACACAGTACAGCTGAAGTACTACAATAAGGTGGGTGTGGGAGGGGGTTAGGGAGTGGGCGGGTCCTGCCCTTGGCTCAGATGCTCACGCAGACCTGGGTGGCACTGTCCCCAGGGGGTGGGTCATGGCATGTCTGCCTGAAAGGGAGGGAGGAGTGGGCATTTGTCACCTTGCTGGGGCATTTCCATACCAGTGGGTAGTGCCATACGCTCCCTATTTTGCTCGCCAAACACAATGGACATTGCTTTAAGTTCATCAGTCTGCACGTGTGTGCACATGTGTGGACACAAAGGGGTGTCAGTGTGTGCCGGTGTCTTTGTGCCTGGCCCACGAACCTAGTCAGCTCCTGCCCACTGTTTCCCTTCTCTGTCCTTCCCCGTCCACAGCCTCTGTTGGGCCAGACAGGGCTCCCCCAGGGCCCATCAGAGCAGAAGGTAGCTGTGGTGACGGTGGATGGCTGTGACACAGGGGTGGCCCTGCGCTTCGGAGCTGTGCTGGGCAACTACTCCTGCGCTGCCCAGGGTACCCAGGGTGGCAGCAAGAAGTAAGCAGGGGAGAGGGCCAGATGCCAGGGTGGGGTGAGAGGCTGGGCAGGGAGGGACGGTCGAGAGGAAGCCTTCAGGGGCCCTGGAAGGGGAACCAATCCAGATGGGGGCCACCCTCACCTTGCGTCCCCCAGCCTGCTCAGCCTTCTGGGGGTAGGAGCAGGCGAGATTGGGGGATTAGAGCAGGGCCTTGGGGATTGGTGAGGAGAGGAGGTGGGTATGGGATGCCTCCCCTCCCCCTGGCGCTGCTCTGCAGGGCCCCTTGGACCCTGAGGCCCTTCCTCTCTGGGGCCCGGTGGCAGGGTGTCGGGAGAAGGAAGAGCCACCGCTGCCCTTTCTGCTTTCACGGCACCCCGTTGTCGCCCCCTCCCCGGCCAGGTCTCTGGATCTGACAGGGCCCCTGCTGCTGGGCGGGGTGCCTGACCTGCCCGAGAGCTTCCCTGTCCGCACGCGGCACTTCGTGGGCTGCATGAGGAACCTGCAGGTGGACAGCCGGCACGTGGACATGGCCGACTTCATCGCCAACAACGGCACCGAGCCCGGTATGCGAGCCGGGGTGGGGCAAGGCCTGGAGCCCAGTGCACTGAGGGGACACCTGGTCTGGGGACACCTGCATGTGGGGTCTCAAAACCCCTCCAGCCACTGGCCCAGAACCCCGCCTGAGCCCCCTTCTCTCCACCCCAGGCTGCCCTCCCAAGAAGAACGTGTGTGATAGCAGCACTTGCCACAACGGAGGCACCTGCGTGAACCAGTGGGACGCGTTCAGCTGCGAGTGCCCTCTGGGCTTTGGGGGCAAAAGCTGTGCCCAGGGTAGGAGGAGAGGCCGAGGCCCCGGAGCTGTCAACAGCGCTGGGAACCCTGGCAGGGACAGGCACTGGGCAGGGCCCTGTCGAGCTGGGGCTGAGGGTGGAAAAGCGTGTCTGGGCAGAGCCCTGAGAGGGTAGCACAGGAGACAAAGGGCCCAGTGATAGACAGGCGTGGGCACAGCGTGGGGCGGGCCTAGGGCAGGTAAATGCTCTGGAGGGCAGGACTGACGAGGGAGTGGGCACCAGGAGAGGCAGTGCCCTGCCTCTCACCGGGCCGCCCCCACTGAGCATCATCTCTCTGGAGGAGGCACTCGTCTGCTCCGCCCCTCAGCCTGCCTTTATCTGCCTCCCCAGAAATGGCCAACCCCCAGCGCTTCCTGGGCAGCAGCCTGGTGGCTTGGCATGGCCTCTCACTGCCCATCTCCCAGCCCTGGCACCTCAGCCTCATGTTCCGCACACGCCAGGCCGACGGTGTCCTACTGCAGGCCGTCACCAGGGGGCGAAGCACCATCACCCTGCAGGTGACGCACGGAGGGAGGCAGGGGGAGGTGGGCCCTGGCTGGGGCTGCTGCAGCCTCCAGGGGGCTGGTCTGAGATGGATCTTTCCTGGAAATGAAAAGGCAGGTGATCAGTTTGGTGGGTCGCTGCTGCCATCTGTTGGCCCTGAAGGAAATAACACCTTGTCCTCTGGCCTCAGTCGGGCAGCAGGATGGGTTTTCCCATCCAGGAAGGGAGACGGTGGGCTGGAGAAGAGCCGGTCAAGGTGGTCTGATGACCCTCCTGTGCTTCCTCCCTCTTCCAGCTGCGGGCGGGCCATGTCGTGCTGAGTGTGGAGGGCACGGGCCTCCAGGCCTCCTCGCTCCGCCTGGAGCCAGGCCGGGCCAATGACGGCGACTGGCACCATGCACAGCTGGCGCTCGGAGCCAGCGGGGGCCCTGGCCATGCCATCCTGTCCTTCGACTATGGGCAGCAGCGGGCGGAGGGAAACCTGGGCCCCCGGCTGCACGGGCTGCACCTGAGCAACATTACGGTGGGAGGAGTGCCTGGGCCGGCCAGCGGTGTGGCCCGAGGCTTTCGGGGCTGTTTGCAGGTGAGCATCCTCCCGGCCTTCCCAGCCAACCCCCATCCCATCCCCCTGCAACCACCACCACCGGGAGGCCTGCTCCACGGAGGGCCAACACTGCCCCTGTCCTTCCCAGGGTGTGCGGGTGAGCGAGACACCCAAGGGTGTCAGCAGCCTGGATCCCAGCCGCGGGGAAAGCATCAATGTGGAGCCGGGCTGTAGCCTGCCAGATCCCTGTGACTCGAACCCGTGTCCTGCCAACAGCTACTGCAGCGACGACTGGGACAGCTATTCCTGCAGCTGTGATCCAGGTGAGTCAGGGATCCAGGGAAATGGGGCAGGTTAGCAGGTGCCCGAGGTCTCCATCTGGCTCTGCTGTGTGACCCGGGGCCAATCACATCACGTCTCTGAGCCTCCGTCTCCTGCACTGCAAAGCCAGTGCTGGTATGATGCTCACAGTGGAAGGAGATGGGTAAAGAAAGTGCTGGGGGCGGGTGGGAACTGAGCCTCGCCTGTCCTTCTGGTCCCAGGTTACTATGGTGACAACTGTACTAATGTGTGTAACCTGAACCCATGTGAGCACCAGTCCACGTGCACCCGAAAGCCCAGCGCCCCCCACGGCTACACCTGCGAGTGTCCCCCAAATTACCTTGGGCCATACTGTGAGACCAGGTAAGTGGGCCGGGCACACAGTAGCAGGTGGCTACTACCTACCTCTGGTGTGTCCCTCGGAGAACTGAGAACCTGGCTCAGTGGCAGCCAGGGTCAGAAGGGCCACCCAAGGCCACAGCAGGCAAGAATGGCAGAGGGAGCTCATGCCTGCCTGGGCCCCTCTCTGCAGGATCGACCAGCCTTGCCCCCGAGGGTGGTGGGGGCACCCCACGTGCGGCCCATGCAACTGTGATGTCAGCAAAGGCTTCGACCCAGATTGCAACAAGACAAGCGGCGAGTGCCACTGCAAGGTGACAGCCCTGGCCTAGGCCTTGACCTCTGCTCTGCACCTCCCGGGCCCTCGAGGGGGCGTGGGGGAGGACTTCCTGCAGAGACTGTGGGCCCTGCGCCTTTGCTCTAATACGGCGGGCAAGTCGCTCTTAGTCCTCAGGTGTCTGGGGGGTTGGGGGACCCAGGACCAGTACCTAACCAGGGAGCTCCGGGGCAGCCGGACTGCTTGGTGTCTGACGGGCTAACCTCCCGGTCACTGTCGGTTAAATATTGTGAATACTGCTCTTGGGGCCGGGGGAACCTGAGGTCAGGGAGCCTCTCCAAGGGGCCACAGTGGAAAGGATCCATGAGCATCCAGCAGAACCTGAGCCAGAAACCCTCTCCCCCTCCTCCCTCCCAGGAGAACCACTACCGCCCCCCTGGTAGCCCCACCTGCCTCCTGTGCGACTGCTACCCCACGGGCTCCTTGTCCCGAGTCTGTGACCCTGAGGACGGCCAGTGTCCATGCAAGCCGGGGGTCATTGGGCGCCAGTGCGACCGCTGTGACAACCCCTTTGCTGAGGTCACCACCAATGGCTGTGAAGGTGGGGCTCCCTCATGGGTGGGTGGCCCTCCTCACGGTGTGCCAGGTCCTGGTGTCCCAGGGAGGCCAGGAGCAGACCCTGGTGATAGACCCGCGGAGGGAGGGTTGGGCAGAGCCGCAGGGGAGACCTGCTCCTGGTGATGGTGTGTGCTTCCCCGCAGTGAATTACGACAGCTGCCCACGGGCCATCGAGGCAGGGATCTGGTGGCCCCGTACCCGCTTCGGGCTGCCTGCTGCTGCCCCCTGCCCCAAAGGCTCCTTTGGTACGTGCTGAGGGCCTCGAGGCCTAGAATGTGATATGGAGGACTTAGCCTCTCATTGGTGGGGTGAGGGCGGAAAGCCCCTGGCTGCAGATCCCGGGACCCCCTTCCTGGCTTCCAAGTCATAGAGACTCCAGGTCCCATCCTTCCCTGGATCATGGTTCCTCTGCTCCCAAGGGTGCCCAGGGGAATGGCGCCTCCATCTTGGACTCTTAACACAAGTGCTGAGAGACCTGCAGTGTGCCCAGCACAGGGCTGGGTGTGGGAATTCAAAGATGAACCCCACAGGGTTCTTAGCCTGAGCTCATCACCTGGTTTTGGAGTTATGCCACTTGACCTAGTCTGGGGAGCAGGGGATGTTGGGCGCTGTCCCAAGGGACCCAGCCCAGGATGGGGTTTGGTGCTGGTCCTCGGATTGATGATGAGTAGAGTTCTCAAGCAGAGAACAGCTGAGAGCAGAAGGTGGTGGCTGGAGGGGGGCCGGGACACTGGGGGGCTCAAGGAGGCCATGCGCCCGTGCTCCTTAGCCCTTGTTTAGGCTCATTTGGCCGAGCCTTTGGCTTTAGTGTTGTGTACACTGTCCTTCCATTTTCACCTGGGCTACAGGAGGGCAGGGCCTCGTCTGCCTGTCTCCCGTCTCTAGCCCACGAGGTCTCAGTGGCCTCCGGTGCTCTCTTCCTGAGGCAGCCCTCTTGGCTTCCTTCCCCAGGGACCGCTGTGCGCCACTGTGACGAGCACAGGGGATGGCTCCCCCCAAACCTCTTCAACTGCACCTCACTCACCTTCTCAGAGCTGAAGGGCTTTGTAAGTGAACCTCCTCATGGCCACCTCCTCCCGCCCCTCCCCTGCCCAGGCTCACTTGGCCTGCCCAACGTTGAGAAAGGGATTCTGGGATTCGAGCTCCTGCCTCTTGGCTGAGGCCCCTGCACTCCAGTTCTGCCCTCTTGGGACCTCTCTGCCACCGTCCTGCGCTGACCCCCTGCCCTCCCCTCCCTTCTGGTTCCGTCCTAGGCTGAGCGGCTGCAGCGAAACGAGTCGGGCCTGGACTCCGGGCGCTCCCAGCGGCTGGCCCTGCTGCTGCGCAACGCCACCCAGCACACGGCGGGCTACTTCGGCAGTGATGTCAAGGTGGCCTACCAGCTGGCCACACGGCTGCTGGCCCACGAGAGCGCCCAGCGGGGCTTCGGGCTCTCGGCCACCCAGGACGTGCACTTCACTGAGGTGGGTCTCCGAGGGGGCAGGGATGCCTCATAGTGAGGAGGGGTCTCTGAGTGAGTCCGCTCCTGAGGGCAGAGTCCTGAGCTCCCCCCGCCCTGCCTTTGGGCAGCTCCCAGCTGGCGTGAGACCTCCGTGAGATCTCCTGAGCCATGGCCCAGCACCTGGGTAACAGAACACCTCTTCCCAATGCTTTCCTTTTCTTTATTTTTTAAAATATATTTTTGTTGATTTTAGAGAGGAAGGGAGAGGTGCTTGGGAGGAAGGGAGAGATTTTAGAGAGAGAGAGAAACATCAGTGATGAGAAAGAATCATTGATTGTCTGCCTCCTGCACGCCCCCACTGGGGTTAGAGCCTGCAACCTGGGCATGTGCCCTGATCGGAAATTGGACCATGTCCTCCTGGTTCATAGGTCGACACTCAACCACTGAGCCACGCCAGCCGGGCCCCAATGCTTTTCATAGCAAGGTGCCCATAAACAATAACATTTGTGTTGGAGGGTGGTCTGACCAGGCTTCTCTGCCCACAGTGCCAGGGTAGGGCCTGGGCAGCTCGGAGAGATGAGGAAGGGAAGGTGGGTGGGGAGCCAGGGCTGGTCTAGGCACAGGCTGGCACCTGGTAGTGGGGATGAGGGGTGGGGGGCAGCGGGCACAGCCTATCGTGACCACGCCCACCCCCAGAATCTGCTGCGGGTGGGCAGCGCCCTCCTGGACGCAGCCAACAAGCGGCACTGGGAGCTGATCCAGCAGACGGAGGGCGGCACCGCCTGGCTGCTGCAGCACTACGAGGCCTACGCCAGCGCGCTGGCCCAGAACATGCGGCACACCTACCTCAGCCCCTTCACCATCGTCACGCCCAACATCGGTGAGGCTGCTGCCCGAGGCGGGAGGGGTTTCTCGAGAGAGTCCCTGGCGCGGTGGCCCTGCCAGGGCCCTGCCGGCCTCACCGCGGTCTGACCTGCGTCCCCTCCCTAGTCATCTCCGTGGTTCGCCTGGACAAGGGGAACTTCGCAGGGGCCAAGCTGCCCCGCTACGAGGCGCTGAGGGGGGAGCGGCCCCCGGACCTTGAGACCACGGTCATTCTGCCCGAGTCTGTCTTCAGAGGTCAGTGAGGGCCTAAGGGTGGGTCAGGGGCCAGGCTGGGGTGCCTGTGCAGGGTCGTGCTGAGTGGACAGTGTTCCTATCCCAGAAGCACCCCCCGTGGTCAGGCCCGCGGGCCCCGGGGAGGCCCAGGAGCCCGAGGAGCTGGCC